AGTGAGTTTCACCACATTTTACAAGTTGGCCATGCCCACCCAGTCACATGACTGCCAAGCCACTCCCACCCAATCACATGGCTAGCAAGCCACTCCCACAAAGCAGGCCACACCTACAGAAGAGGTTCTAAAAATTTTTGAAACCCACCACTGATAGAACCACTTGCATGTTCTGTAAACCTTTCTGCCTATCAAATCCTAATATGACAGAGAAATATCTTTGCCTAGCCATTTCCCCGAGTTGTTGATTTTCTATGCAGCCAATTTATTGGCTGGGGAGAAATCAAAGAGTTGTCCCGTGTGGTTTTTTCCCCCAAAGTCTATCTTCCAGAGCTCTCTAAGTACATCTTATATATTTTGGCAAGATGAAAAACCCTACTTCTTTGAATAGATGTCCATCCGCTTCTAGTAATATATGTTTAAAATGATTAAAAGATTAATTCAAGAAACAGAAAGGTGAATTCCATAGTAGTATTCCTTAGGCATTTGCTATGACTGTAAAAAATGTTAGAGGAAAAGTATCATATAATAAATACTCAAAATGTTAAAATGCAGTCCATTCTTTTACAAACCCAAGACCAATTTCTCCATTTGATCATTGTGTTCAACAGTGAGCTCAAGTATATGTCAACTACCCTTTTTTTGCAAATGCACAACCTTCTGATCATAATTAAATTTGTATTCATCAAAGTTTACACATCAGAAGAAACCCTAGCTACTTTATTAATTTTGTTTACTTGAAAAGATTTATACGGCCACCTATTTTTGGCACACTACTCTGGCCGGTTAACAATAATGATAAAACACAAGCAATAAAATGATAAATGTTGAAAAGGAAAGAAAAAAACCAAGAATGTTCACATATCTGAATATGAATTGCTTTCCAACCAGACCTTTTTAGTTCAGTTAAGTAGGGCTTGGTTCCCAATCGTCAGATGTGTTTCCTAACATATTTGGATTTGTGTTTTAATTTGAGAAGACTTTGACTGTTTTATGGAATTTGTTTGCTGTTGTCTCTGCCTTCCCTATAGCTGGTATTTTATTTAGTGACAGAAAATCTGCACTATTTATGGGGTGTTTTTTGTTTTTTTTTACTATAAAACTACTGCAGCCCTATCACATGGCATCTTCTCCTAAGCCATCTGTCACAGAGGTCTGGCATTTTATGTGAATGTTGGCCAGGCAGACTTAACCCAAGTTTTTTTTTATTATGAAAAATGTTTGCAACTACAATATTTAGCGTTTTACTTTACAGTGGTTATTAAACTTGATTACTTGTAGCTCTGTTTCATGGCTGCACTTATATATCAACTATGAAGCCAAAAAAACACAAAGGTAATTATGGCAATGTAGTCAGGCCCTGGAAAGTTCAGCTGGCAATGATACAGTTAATATCTTGGATTTTTGTAAGTAAGGGTTATTAATGCTGATATAAAACTGTATTTGATTTTATACAGATGGCATAAGATGTGGTTACTAAGTTATTATCCGGGATAAGCTGTACTGGCAAATTCAGGGCTTAAAACTATCACAGGAGATTAAATTATTTACTAAAAAGGGACAGAAAGATATAGTGAAAGCATCTTAGCATGAACATATTATAAGTATATTTACTTCCCATAAATATAATGAAGTATATCTCTCTTAAAATGAGGGATTAAAATGTGATTGTTGTCATAGAAGAATTTCTCATTTGTACAAAGCGAAGTAATTGGCCCAATTGTTTTCGGCTTTTTCCGAGGAAAGCAAGAGAACTGATATTTCTAAAACCTTACACAAGTATCATGAAAACTTTATATTTTCTGGATTATTTTCTAACAATGCAGTTATATGAGCAACATACTCTTAAAAAGATTGATATTTTAGCAGCTATACCAAAATAGTTTATTCTTTTGTAACTTTTTTCAGGATTTATTCTGTTCGGTTGCCTTTGTCTTTTTCTCAGTAACCAGCATATTGAATTGGTGGCCAGGCATGTTTGGTGGAGCAACTAATCATACCTCAGATACATTTATTAGTCAGGATTTATAATAAAACTTTTTATAAGAATAATTCCAGAATGTTCTAGTCACTAAAGCAATAGTTGATCAGATTAGGCAACATGTGGTTCATAGGTTAAGGAAGATAAACACCAAGCAGCCAGCTAATCATACTAGTTTGACATATTTATTTATTTAGCATATGGCATATCATACATGGACTTGCAATGTATATTAACATTCACCGAGATTAAAAAAAAACACAACAAAATATTAATGTTAAAAAGATCTATATTCAGATACCAAAGTCTAGCTCAACTAACCATTGAAGCACAGCTCATTTATATGAAGAAAAAAACCAGATACTAGACTGGTATATGCCCTTTAATTTTTACCTCACTTCCTATATTTTCCTACTATCTAGGAGAAATTCATGATAAATCAGTAAAAGTGTTTAGCATTGGATTCTGTTAAAAGCTGAGCATCAAGGTTTATTGAGATAATTTGAGATAAATTGTGAAGTACATGAGGTAGAATGTATCCCTCTATCCTGATTGCTCCCAATTAAAACATCCCCACAATGCATTTGGCCAATTTGTTGCTTCAAATTTACATCCAGGTTGTGCTGGGAAGGGAACAAAAATTAGACTGAATGACTAACAGGGCTTCCTCTTGAGATCAGACTAGCATTACAACATCTATGAAGGGTTGCAGACACCTTAAAGTGGATGTTTTGTCATTTGCTTTACTTATTATTTCCTGCATGGTGATATTTTATGGCCCAATTTAGATGTCTATTTGATATTTTATTGAAAAGATTATTGAGGAAATTTTTATATATTGCTCTACTCTCAAGATAACTTATTTGTGGAGGACATCATCATCATTTCTTTCCAACATCCCTTCCCTTTAAATTAAGACCCTTAGACTTGACCCCAAATTCCTTCAACCTGTGTAAAATTTGCTAGGGATATTCTTTTCAATGAAAACCAATTTTACTATAAATGTGATATTATGATTCAGAATATAAATGCTGCCAATTTTTCTAATACTAGATGATGGGATGGGTGAATTTTGTTTTTTTCTGAATAATTTTTGGATCAAAGTGTAATAATCCAGCTCTCTGAGTGGGTTTAACAATTTCTGAGTACCATAGTAACTAAACCATTTTCAGTTTTGCAATATTATATAAAGGGAATATATAAAGGGAAAGCACTGTTCCATTTCTGATTCATCCATCTTTAAACAAAACTTATCTCTCTGCTGGAATTCCCTTTCTCAATTCTACAACTTTACAATTTGTATTCCTCCTGAATTTTGGTAGCATAGTTCCTGGGGCTATCTTGGTCACAAAATTAAGCAGGAATGATAATTCATTTGCTATAGATTGAGTACCCCTGAATTAGAGAATATATTTAAATTCTCCATTCTTCCTCTGTATGAAAGAATGCTGAGATCAACGCAAACCTAGCTGGTTTGGCATATAGGGTTGCCTCAAACCTGGAAATATATTATAGTTTAACTGCCCCAAATTCTTGGTCAATAGAGCCTAAAGGGAATTGTGGCATGTAGCTCACACATCTGAGGAAGCATCAGATTAAACATCCTAATTGAACCTATGTAGGTCAAAACCTTTCAATAGTTTAGTTAAGATACTTTTGTAGATACCAAACATGCATAGAGTATCATTTGGAAAAATACACATGATTTGGCCATAATGCAAGCTACAGATCAACAAGAATAATTTCTATCTGATTTTGTTCTTCACAATTTCCAATGAGAAATTATATTTAAGAGAGGGATACTGCCCACATTTATTACAATAATTCTTTAACATGATCTTAGAATTCAGAGTGCACTTTAGATCAAGTGAGATTGTAGCTCCTATATAAAGAGCAAATGTTTTTGCATTTCTTTATTCTCCTCTGATGCAAATGTACCATGTCTAGTGTAGGGGGAAGAAGGAATACAAGAATAAGGTTGATAAGCAATAAATTAATACTCTGGTCCAAAAGCGATCATAATTCTTTGCAAATAAAATGAGCAAGATTGAAAATTTAAAAATATCCTCCGATTTAGTACAGGGCGGGGCATAACCTTTTCCTAGGGGGTCACAGCAACACTTGTAATAACAACACAAATAATTCATACACCATTCGAAAGCCCATCAAAAACTGAGTTTATTGACACGATTTAATAGTCAGTATGACCACCATTAGCCCTTCGAACAGCATTCAAACGAGGTGGATAAGAACACAACAAATCTTCAAACAGTCATTATTTTGCAATTCTAGGGCGGGGCATAACCTTTTCCTAGGGGGTCACAGCAAGATCGACAGCAGTTTACAACTTCTGCGACACCTCATTTTAAAGCCCATAAAAAACTGAATTGAATGAGCTATTAAATGTTAAATTTGCTTTAAGAATGGCTGGAAAATTCGATTCGGAAGAACAAAGGATCATTGACAGAATAAAATGCATTGCCTTTCGAGAGGCACCTCGTTTGAATGCTGTTCGAAGGGCTAATGGTGGTCATACTGACTATTAAATCGTGTCAATAAACTCAGTTTTTGATGGGCTTTCGAATGGTGTATGAATTATTTGTGTTGTTATTACAAGTGTTGCTGTGACCCCCTAGGAAAAGGTTATGCCCCGCCCTGTATATATAGTTTATATTTAGGAAGCCTCTTTTCCAATTCTGCTTGCAATATGTAAGTGTTCAAACACAGAAAGAGCATTATTGAAGTATCACTTAAGTCTGCCTAAGAATTAAATATTAATGGGTGTAAATGGTAAAGCTGGTTTTAGATTTAGGTATATTTAAATAATAGGAGGCATTTTCACTTATCCTTTAAAAGCTCCACATGTCTTAGGGTGCCTCTGCAAACAGCTCTTTAAACATTTCTCTCTTGTGTTTCAGGGAACTGAAATAGAAGTAGATGAAAATGGCACTTTGGATCTGAGCATGAAAAAGAACCGAAGTCAAGAAAATATTACTTCTCTAAGTTCCTTCAGTGCCAATGTCCCCACTCCTTCCTCCTCACCCTTCAAAACAGGCAGCATTCTGGTCAATGCCACTTTCTACCAAGCTTTGAATGAAAAAGAAGGTTGGGATACACCAATCAATTATAGCAAGAGCCAGGGCAAAAAAGAGGAAGAGAAAGAGGTATTTTGTTTTATTTTACTTGATGATACCCAGAGGTGATGGAAATCATCTCTAATTTTGGATTGTTTGTTTTCCAATGCATAATTTGAGTCAATGATAGATATTGCTGTACCCCTAAATATAAATAGAAACAAATATAATTCATTTGTTGGTTTAGGTTATTTCTGCCTGTCCAATGCTGGCAGAAAGAGGTAATTAGAATGATGTGCCCTTTAATTGTTATGTTCTTTTCTGAAGGTGTGGTGGCATTCCTAGAAACCAGCAATAGCATTAGGCGGCCAGTTTTTATGAGAATGAAAAGAAAACATTCAACCCTCTACACATATCTGTACTTTAAAAATATTGCTCATAGTGACCATAGCTGATAGGATTGCAGTTTAGCAACATCTGAATGACCAGCTCAATAAGTTCTTTAACCCTATTTTAGGAAGGCAGATATGCATTTTTAAATATTTTTAGGCAGGAGGAGGCCATGCCTGAAGTTTAGAGAGCATGTTGTGAGGTTTCTTAAAATGGCTGCTACAGGACAATTTGTTCATCCACACAAATACACAAATACACATAAATGGGGATGCTTCTTCTCTCTAATTTAGTCATGCTAGGACACTCCCTGCATTTTTTAAAGTAGATGAACATGCTTCTAAACAAAGCAGTCATCCTTTATTTTATTTTCAAAGAATGTTTATGACTCCTTTGTAGAACTGAATGGCATCCTTGTACAGACAAATTAATGCTTTAGACTGGCATTCTGCTTTGCAGCTTGCTAAATCTCTGATTAATTTTGTTCTTAAAAGCTAGGTCTAAAAAAGCTCCCAATTAGTCTCAAAGAAGACATGTATGGCCACATTTTTCTGTTCTTGCTGCTTTCTATCTTGTTGGTATTCATCATATAGAAGCCAAAACCCATCTAGGTCTAATATTTATTATGTTTAAGCCTTTGACTTTAAGCCATATTATATAACAGGATAATTATCTTCAAATAGCGATTTGACCAACCCTAAGTCAAATAAAAGGGAGGGACAATTAAGGTAGAAAGTGGTATGCCGATCAAAGATATTAGATGTCCATCTACTGTTCCCTATCATCTATATTTTCAGCCCAGTTTTGATCCTGGGAATCAATATACCCAGATTTTGGTGTTGGGAGTGGAATCAGGCAGGAATACAATAGATACATGAGGATTAAATATCACTTGGCTGTGTATTTCTTTGAATTTGAAATCTCAATTGCCAGAAAAATATAAATCATATAGAAATTGGCTCTCGGACAGTGATCATCAAAGAAATCAATCAAGCACTTAAAACATAAACCATATTTCATTTGCTCCATTGTATTCTTCATCAAGGCATTCACAAAATATCAACATGCATATCAGTATAGTGCATCAATTTGGTTTACAATAGAAGCTGAACAGGAAACAAAAATGCAGCTTTGGGCTGATACTCTCCCTTACATAAATAAGACAAATATTTACATAAAGGGAATCATCATTTGAAACAGATACTATACTAAATTATAATTTAAAACCTGATGATTTCCTTGATTTTTGTTATGCCCTTTTCATTTATATGTTTATTGACTGTTGATAGTACATTTCTTGTTTGTTTTCTCCCTTCCCCCAACTTTTTGCCCATGTTTTCTATACGAATATTGTTGCCAGAATTAAGCAAAGTAGAGTATTATTTAGACCTGCTCTTATGATGAATAATCAGCATCAGATTCTTATAATGCGAGTTGAATGACACTTAGATAAATTAACAGGAATCAGCACTGTTTATTCAGATTTATCTTTGTGTACAACATAAGAACAACGCATGTATAATGACTGCCAGGTGGAGACCATATTAATTACATGAAAATTAGTGCAGAAAGTGGGAGATTTATTTCCATGTCATTGCAATCTTGCATTGCAAAGAAGGATCACAGTTGTGTAGGAAGAGCCATCACCCCAATCTCTGGCTTTCTGCAGTTAAACAGCTGCTTTAAAACTTTACAATAACACATTCTCTGTTTTACTTCAATAAAACACATAAGAAGAGAATGGTACAATTTGAACAACCGAGAGAAGAGAATAATTGTAGTTCAGGGTTGAACTGTGGGGACTTTGTGCTTTCTGAGCTTGGTGATTATCTTGCAGACATTTCATTGCCAAACTAGTTAATATCATCCATGCTAAGGAAATGTCTGCAAAAAAAAACCCCATCAAGCTCAAAGAGCACCATTTTTATGAATCATACAGAACATATCTTAATACATCAAACTTAAAAAGGAACCATTAACTGAAAAAAACGTGTCAAGGAATTATACTTTGAGAATGTAGTCAGTTTAGAAGCTATGTCGATTATTTTGTATCAATTATTTTTTATTAAAAACAAAAGAAGATGCAATATTTTCATAATATTTTTTATTGTTAGCAGTGCAGCTCTCTGTCTGGAAGTATTCTTGCTCTTACATAAATAAAACCACTCTTACAAAGCAACTTTATTTTATTTTATTATTATTTGTCTTCTTACCAAAAGAGTATGCTAATTACAAGAATAAGTTATTTTCCTTGTTGAAGGAGATAGCAATAGCAGTTAGCAATAGCAGTTAGACTTATATACCGCTTCATAGGGCTTTCAGCCCTCTCTAAGCGGTTTACAGAGTCAGCATATCACCC